AATTGCCTTGCTGCATCTAAGCAAAGAATAAAATTAGCTGGCGACAAGTGGGCTCCATCAGACATGATAAATGATAAGGCATCAAATCCTGGTTCAGAAGCATCCGGGTGTCTAGCAGTAATAGAAAGTAAAGAAGCAATAGTTCGCCATCCCATTTGGGAACGAATGTGAGTCGCATTTGCTTTCACCAGACGACTGACCTCCTGAGTGATCTGCTCACAATATTGGTCAGCAACTCGAGCGTCAAGCTTAAGAACCAGTTGCAGTGATCTTAAAAGTTCATCAGCCAAGTTCTCTTTATAGGGAAGCAGCCGCTGACAAATACGAAGAAGTCCAAAAACAGCCTTCTCAACCAGCGCACAAGCCACTACAGTTGACTGAACAATATTAGAAATGTGCTCATAAACGCCCTGCCAGAGAATTCTAATCCTATCTCGGTTATTCAGGGTAATAGCAATTAGCAATTCCAAGCAGAAAACAGCCGTGTCTTCATCCTCGGGAGAGCTATTACCCTTTTGAGGTCGCCCAGCAGCCCATATGAGTGCCTGAGCAAGCTGTAATAAAGACTCAGATTGCAGGAACTTACTTTCTGTGAAGATACTGTCAATATGACACTTTTGAATTGTCTGAAGTGTGCGTTGATGAGCAGCAAGTTGTTGTTCGGTAGGTTGAGACCTTGGCTCTTCTGTTTCTAGAGATAGGAGCTGGCTGAATCGGCCCATCAGCCCAGACGATCGCCTAGGAGTACCAATGGATTGCATATGAGCAGAAGACAATGAATTCGTAAGAAGCTTCCCTTGTCCAGGTTCAGATGACATCTCTGAGTCATCTGCTGCATCACTGGCAACACGAGCAGGAAGAAGGCCAAGCTTGTGTAATCTTAAGATGCAATCCAAAATATTTCTCCAGCCCGTACGGATAAAATCCCCATATCTGTTTGCAATAGTGAACACAGTGACAGTAGCCATCCTGGCTTTTGCATCATCACCAAAGGCTAGAACAGGTTCCTCAACAGATGAGGGATTCAAGAGTGTAGTGAACTTACAGAGAGACACTACCAGATCATCCAAAACATCTTCAAGATGATGACATGCTGAAATCTTTGCAACCGCCAAGAATCCATCAATACATGTTTGGTAAACATCCTCATGTTCTGCATAATCAAATACCACTGAGATAGCAGCAATTGTTGGACCTGACATTATGGCAAACATGTCATGGTCAAGGTAGGCTCTGGA